ATCCACCAGACTCAGGCTTAATGGATCTCCGAAAAGTGATAACTATCACAGAAGGAAAAGATAGCCAAATAAATTTTGTAACTTACTCTTTTTTATTTATTTCGAAGTAAAGAAGATTTCTTTCTTAAAAGTCACTCTTGCTCTCTCTATCTTGCTCTTGCTCTCTCTAAATCCGGCTAGTTTCCTTCGGGCTGACGATGTTTCTTAAAGTAGTTTTGGCTCCTTGAACTTGAATTCGACTTTACTAAATTTCACTGGACTTCTCAAATAACTTAAACTTGATTAATTTCCACTAGACTTCTCTAATAACTTGAACTTGAAACTGAGTTTACTAATTTCCACTGAACTGCTTAAAATAATCTGACTTTATTAATTTTCACTAGCCTGCCTGTCGCGGCCTTGTGCAGGGCTTTTTATAACCTTGGGGCGGTTGGGTAGAAATCCCCTTCTTCAGGCCCATGGAGTGACAAACTCAAAGCTTTCCGAATTGGCCGAAAGATTTTCTTGGTCGAACCGGAATACATAATTGGTCAGAGGGCGTGAGTTTTCAGAGAGAGAGGACGGTTCTTTTCTAAACTTGGGCCCTTTTCATTCATTAGAGTTTCATTTTTGAGAGCAAGAGTGGCACTATTATTTTTAATTAATTAACGCAAACGAATGTTAATCAGAGTACATAATTGTAATTTTACATTATCACTTAATACTAGGGAATCGATTACAAGTTGAAATAATACTAAAAATGTAAAAATTCTATGATTAATTATTATAAACGAATTTATAATATTTGTGAAGTTGTCTGAACTTAGTGTTACGTTATTAGTTACTATAGATTATTGTTTCTTATGATCCTATTATTTAACTTGAATTGTATGTTTTGATGTTTGAAAATGGTAAGTCGATAAAAGAATGAGGAGAGCTATAAATAATTATTTATAATAGAAGGTGAAAGGTTAATTTTTTTAATTTCAATATTTCTATTTCATTTTCTTTGAATGGTAAAAAATTTTTTGTCTTCTTAAAAGAGAAGAATTCGGTGGGATAAATTAGAACGGAAAACAGATTGCAGTTTTATGGCCCTCTTCTCTCATCGGCATCTCAACGTTCACGTGTTCGGAGGTTGCATGCACTTCATATGTAAATGTGAAGGTACGAAGGGCAGAATAGCGTATTGAAAAAAATGAATGCACGCTTGTATAAATTTAGACTATAGATTCTATTGCTTGGAAACTATCAAGAAGAATTTCCCTGTGACACTCGGCTCGGTTTCCACAGCTCATGGGAAGCGGTTTCAACTCTGCCGTTGGTCTTAGAAAAATTATTCTTGTGAAATTTAAAAATTTTAATCATATATGGCCCGCCATCACATTAGTTAGATCGATTTGAAAAATAGTAATCTTTGCAGAAAAATCTGTAAGTAAAAGATATAAATTTATGAATTTATCTACAAACAAAGTCAGAGATGGATCTATTCTACAGGGTGTCCCATTTTAAAGGAACCACCCCGAAATTTTCAACGGTTGGCGTTGTACAAAAAAATTGTTCAGACAATAGTTGTTTGGGACAATGGGGGCAACCTTTTTGTGAAATCCGATTTGACCTTGAGATTCATTTTCAAGGTCATTTGAAGGTCAAAGTCATTTTTTGAATAGGAACCCATATTTTTGATCCCTGATTCGGAAAAAGCTGAAAATTCTACGTTTAGATAACGTATTATGTGTGGGGTGCGGTTAATACCCCCCCCCCCCTCGCCTAAGGTCATGTAGGGGTCAAATTTATGATTTTCTTCATCTATGCACAGGGATGATCGGGCAAGAGTAAGGTTAATTGTAATAATCCAATAACTCGATAACCCAAATATATAACCCAATAATCCAATAACCCGATAACCCCAATATATATAATTCAATAACTCCAATATCCCAAAAAAATTGTAGGGTCAAACAACAGTGACCTTGAGCTTAAACTTCAGGTTGATTTTCAAAGTCGACTTCATGTATTCAAAGCCTTCATGAGAAGTGTCATTTTCCATTTTGTGGGATAACATGTTATTTCCATTCTTTTTTCTGGTGTAATTCCGGACAAGCCTACAAAGTTTCAACTAAATTGTTTAACCCATTAAGGCCCAAATGTCCTAAATTTTCAACGAATCTTCATGCAGTTATTTTTCATATTATCTGCACCAAAAAAAATTTCCAACACATCATATCCGACGTAAAATTTGATGTTCTTTCAGAATATGGCTTCAGAATTTGTCTAAAGTCACTGCTAAAAAAGTTATAATTAAATATTTGCAAAAGAAAGCGATTTTTTCAACTTAAAAAGATTTTTATTCAAAATTTTTTTAAGAAATTGATAAAGATGCACATCATTTACAGCTAGAAACGTGTCCTCGAGTCCTAAATTTTGAGACATATGGGGTACAAAATCGAAAATCCAACATGGCGGTTCTCAAAATGGCGTCCGAAGTCATAATTTTTTTGAAAAATTTCAGGATGCTATAATTTGAAAACTATGAGCTTTTCTGAAAAAATGCTTAGAATGAAAAGTTCTTAGAATTCATCAAGAAATACACTGGAATTTTTTCAGATTTTTTTTCATGAAATTTTGAAAATTTTTTTTTTGGATTTTTGAAAATTTTTAAAAATTTATAAAAAATTCTGGAAAAATTCCAGTGTATTTTTTGATGAATTCTAAGTATTTTTTTCTCAAAAACTATCAACTTTTGGAAAAAATTAGAAAGAACAAAAAATTGGCTGGGTAATCAATACCTTGCCTTCAATGGCTGGGTAATTGATACCTTACCTTCACTGGCTGGGTAATCAATACCTTGCCTTCACTGGCTGGGTAATCAATACCTTGCCTTCAATGACTGGATAATTGATACCTTACCTTCACTGGCTGGGTAATCAATACCTTGCCTTCATTGGCTGGGTAATAGATACCTTACTTTCATTGGCTGGGTAATCAATACCTTGCCTTCACTAGCTGGGTAATCAATACCTTATTAACCTCACCCTTGCCCCGGTGGGATGGGGGGGTGAACCGCTCTCCCAACATAATACTTTATCTAAACGTAGAATTTTCCGCTCTTTACGAATCCGGGATAAAAAATGGGGGTCCTTATTCAAAATATCTCTTGGTTATTGGGTTATTGGGGTTATTGGGGTTATCGAGTTATTGGATATTGGAGTTATTGGGTTATTACAATTAACCTTACCCTAGCCCGATCGTCCCTGTGCATAGATGAAGAAAATCATAAATTTGACCCCTACATGACCTTAGGCGAGGGGGGGGGGTTAACCGCACCTCACACATAATATGTTATCTGAACGTAGAATTTTCCGCTCTTACCGAATCCGGGATCAAAAATATGGGTTCCTATTCAAAAAATGACTGACCTTTAAATGACCTTGAAAATGAATCTCAAGGTCAAATCGGATTTCACAGAAAGGTTGCCCCCATTGTCCCAAACAATTGTTGTCTGAACAATTTTTTTGTACAACGCTAACCGTCCAAAATTTCGAGGTGGTTCCTTTAAAATGGGACACCCTGTATAATCATTAGTTTACTTGTAAATTAATAAAAAGCATATAATTTTGTAAGCCACTTTGTGTCTTTATTAATGACATGTAAATTAATGGTTTTAAAATAGTGCTATCACTGATATTTTTGATAAATAATGTAATACGCTATAACTTTTATTTAAAGGTTTTTCCGGTTAAATTATTATTTTTCAAATCACAGATGTAAATATTAAAATTGAAATAAATCAAACGCGTACGGTGATGCGTTATTTTCTGAACGCATTTAAGTTACAAAAATACCGCGAGAAAAAAAATTAGTGCAAAAAGAAGAACTTACGGCTAGACTCAATAATATCAACATCGAACCATTTTCTTCCATACCTTCACGCCATTGATTATTCCGAAGCTGCAAGTCTTTCTTCGGAAGAATGCTGTACTCGGGCAAATCGGGTTTCCATAATACGAGTATAAACATGTTGATGTGGTGGGAAAGTAAACTCTAGGGAAACTTTAAACTGACTAATTACAACTTGGTTATAAATAATAAGACGTTGCCAAGTATACTATGTTTATCTTCGTGTAACAATTTTTCGGAATGTCAAAATCGATTTTCAATTATTCAACAAAAATCTTAAACCGTTTGTATGTATTGTTTGTACATATTCTTACATTTCAATGTAAAAATTAATGGTCATTGTTATCCAAAAAATAACATTTTTTTAAAAATATCTTCATTTTATCGATCGATGTTTTCGTATCTTAATTTTAATAAGAAATTAATGATCTACGCGAAGAACATAAAAGAATACCCATGCCTTCCAACAATGCAATTGAAAGCCGCTTCCAGTCTGTCAGAGCGAGCATATGGCAGCTCCTTCTCGCCACTTTCCACTCGCTGCGATACGCTTTCTTAATAACGATGCTCGCTTATTGGATGATCTTTAATACCAATAATCTCATTACCTATTCGACTTAAAATTTTTTTTTTTCAATTGTATCTTATATAACTCTTCCAGATGGATCCAGTGATATAATTTTTATTCAATTGTTTCTGAATCAGATTGTATATCATAGAAATAAATGAACTGATTCACCTAGAAATTTTATTGACACACAGGAGTTGTTAAGTTTTGACACCAAAATATATACGAACCTTCTCTTTTTTAAACTACCATTTTGAAATATTGTGATGAAGTCAGACTGAAAAATCAAAATGGTCAAACTAAAAATTTTATGATCAACTTAAAGAACTCTGGTTAATAACTAAAATATCAGACGATTAGTCTCATTGAATATTAAAAATAAACATATGCGATTTTTTCTTAAAAAAATCTGATTTATTTTTTGGCGTTTTTAATCTACAATGAATATAAAATATGAATTTTTTGTGACTATAGTATAAAATTTTTGAAAAGAAAAATCGATCTTTTCGTCTGCCAATAAAGAACCTTTTTGATGATATATTTTATTTTTCAGGGTTTGCTCTCATTGTTTGCTGCAACATTCATGGCTCTTACAATAAAACAATATAACTTATCGAGGCGAGCCAACGCTGCTGCTATATCATTTATGACACTCGCTTATGTTCAAAGTATTCTAGGAATATTAACTTTACTCAATCATGTTCCCACCTACTTAGCAGCCGCGCACCAATCAGGTAGTCTTCTCTTACTCAGTTCTATAGTTTGGCTTTGTCATGAAATAAAATTAATAAAAAAATTAATAAAATAATCCTCATTTTTGTTTATTTATTTGGAACCATATTTTGAATTTTTTTATTTTGCAACCTATTATAAACTAACTTATCATATTAACTTATTATAGTAAGTATACAGCCAAGATATTACAATGAAAAGTTTTGAGATATAGGTTGAGTTTTATAAAGAAATTATAAATCTTAATGATAATACCTTCATGCATAATACTTTGAGTTAAATGGAATTCATTATGGTATAAAATTTGGGGGAGAGGTAAATTTGGTTAGGCTTAGACGATATTAACTTCGAAAACTTCATACTTTATAAGATATAATTTATTATTATTAGATATTCTTAATAAGTGCTATTCTAACGATTGTTATCCAATAGCTGGATAAATCCTTATACTTAGTTTTTCGATGTAGCAAGGACTTGCATCAGTTAGCTCTATCGGAAGAAATATGTTTCACTCGTACTATCTCCGCATCTGTTTTGCATTTTTTTCTGCTACTGTAACTTGCAATGCACATCGCCTTCTTTGCTAATGAAAATCGCCTTTACATACCTAGCCGAGCTTCTTACGACTCGTACACGACGCACGATTTCACTCAATGGTACTGCGATTACCTACATTCTATTTGTTTTACAATTCTTAACTTTTCACAATAAAGCTTTCCTATTTGAATCACACTCGGTACCTCTTTATTCAGTAGACCTGTAGCCTAATAACAAGCTCTTATATTTTGTACCTGTTACATTTTGAATCAAAGTTTTATACAGTTTACGCTAGTGAGTTGAAAATACTAGTATTCTAGTAAGTCCCCAAACTTGATTTCAAAAATGAATTTTTTTGTGCCGATAATCTTATTATAATAAAATTAGACGTTGAAAATGCATTAAAAAAATTAAATTGTACTTGCCGTCTTTATTAATATTAGCAATGGATTATATAAGTTATATAGCCATACAGTATTAGAATAATTAGTGAAAATGGGATGCTCAGCCGAAGTTTTATCGAATTCTTAATACAGCATAGAGTTTTATCTACAGAAATCAACAAAAAAATTCTAAAAAATAACTTGAAAAGGGGACCACAAAGAGAAGTACCTCAGGCCATTATTTTACATATTGTTTGTGTTTACAATGTTTCATGATATTGCATATTGATATAGCATATACTGCAATAGATCGGAATGCCGTCTAACGAAAGGCGTTCGAATGTTTCAAACGAGGCCTGAAACAAGAAATCCGAATATTGCTCCCTGCTAGTACAGTTGCCCTAACAGCAATGAAAGAGGCTATACAAATAGAAAAAGAAATAGAATTAGACAACTCACTTAGAAATAAAGCATTGATTTCATTACAATCGCCCCAGCAACCTTTAACGATATGACAAATTTGTAAAGAAAATGACCACGAAGCTCTAAACTGCAGCATATTAACGAAAGCACAAAAATTCTGTAGCCATTACCAAAAGTTCGGACATGGAGAAAAGAATTGTTATTCAAAATTAAAGAAAACCATAGAATCTCGTCAATTATGCGCACGGAAGGGACATATAGCTCACGAATGCAGGGCTCATTTAAAATGTTAGCTTTGCCAAAAACCAGATCATGTAGCGAAAGACTACAAATTTACCCAAGTCAGCCCAATTAACGAATCAAAATGTCAAATATGCGAAAGAATTGGTTACATAGCAAAAGCATGTAGGACGAAATCCGACAATCTTCCGTACATGGTCAGCGGAGAATGTCATTTCTGCAAATGTTGCGGTCACTTTATGGCCGATTGTTTCCATCGAAAAGCATTCTTAGAACAAAATCAGGGAAACGAACAGCGGTCCTTGCAAACCAGCACGATGCAGAGGACGTGCAAGCTACAAGCGCCCCAAACCGAAGAAATGCTTTTGCGACTTGTTCCGTAATAAACGAGCCAAATGTTACCACAAAAGTAGCGTGGTAGATGCGAACCTTTAAGATGACATAAAGTTTCAAATAATGATAGACACAGGGTCCGAATTTAACATAAAGATTGGGGTAATGAGGAATAATCTAGAACTTGTCGATAATTCTAAATCTGAATGCCATCTTAGTAGGAATCGATCCTGAATCCGTCCCTACCATAAGCTCCGTAAAAATATGAATATTCGGATTCCTTACAAAGTTTTACCTCCTTAGTAATAACTTCACCATACCTTGTGAAACCTTATCATGTGCAGCGTATTTTTCAGAAAATAAAATTGAAAAAGATTACCAAGAAAAGAAACTTCTGGTTAAAAATCACAGGATTAGTTTTCGAGAAGCGGACGATTATGTTAACGCGGAATCTCGCTCAGTTCACAACGCTTGATCAAACTTAAATGCATCCAAAATATTCCCACAAAACGGCTTTTAGCACGCTGTGTAGACACTATGAATTTATAAAAATACCATTCAGATTGAAAAATGCTCCCGCAACATTCCAAAGATTCATGGATAATCTATTAAGAGGATTATAAGAGAGCAACTTCTTCGTACATTTGGATGATATTGTTATTTACGTGAATACAATTAAAGAACATGACCAGAAATCCAGAAAATTAGTAGAAAGATTAAGAAAAGGAAAGTTAAAGCAGATTATTATCGGCGGTTTATTAAGGATTTTGCCAAAATAACCAAACCTCTCACCAAACTACTATGCAAAGATATTAAATTCGAATGGAATGAAAAATCCGAAAAAGCTTTCTGCGAACTAAAGGAGATACTTTGTAATGCTCCGTTACTTCAATTCCCCGATTTAACAATACGAACCAATGCCTCCAGCATAGCTATAGCTGGAATTTTATCTCAGGGACGCCCTGGATCTGATCATCCTATAGCTTACTTTTAAAGATTCTTGAGTCACCTGGAGTTAAATTACGAGATTTACAAAAAGGAAGTTTTAGCGATTGTACAAAGAATAAAAGTTTTCAAATCATAGCAGATCAATAGCTATCACTACCGATCATCAGCCTCTAGTTTGGTTTAAAACAACCGATCTAAATACGAGGGGGTAATAAGTCTTTACAAAAAGAAGGAAAAATAATTTTTGCGTATGTAATTTTTTTTTATTTTTTAACATCTCCTTGAAGGTCGATACATTTTATTAAACGGCCTTCCAGTTTTTTAAGCCATCAGAAAAATATGATTACTAAAAACCCTCAAAATAGGCATTTGTTTCGGCGATAACTTCTTCATTCGACGTGAATCGTTGTCCGGCAAGCCATTTTGTGAGGTTAGGAAATAAGAAAAAGTAACTGGGAGCCAAATCAGGCGAATATGGTGGATGGTCAATTAGTTTGAACTTTAAATAGTTAATTTTTGCCATCGAAACTGCACATGTGATAGATAATGATAGACACAGGGTCCGAATTTAACATTATAAAGAGCATTATCTTGAAGAAAGAGAGCAAGCGTTGCACTTGTTCTCATCGAAATTTTCCCCCATTCCCCCTCTCTCTCGGCATGGCATTTAAGAATGCGCCTAATGCATGGTCTTTGTTTCAGCCGACGGAGATGCCGAGCGAGGCCGAGCCGGCCCGAAGCTGTTACGCTGGCGACAGAGTATAGAGGTGTTAGAAAGAGAGAGAGAGAGAGAGTTGGGAGCGTGTGTGCCCTACGCAAGATTAGGCAGGCGCGCGTTGTGTACCGATTAGCGCATTGGTCGCGCGCCGCCTAATAAGTAGGGCAAGTGGGGAAAGAAAAAGAACGAGGAAGAAGCTGTCGATCGCGAGAGAGAAAACAAACGACACAGACGGTAGTGAGTCGAGAGCACAGTTCGAAGGTTTTCCAATCGACTAGTTATATTTAAGGCGATAGACGGTCAGCGGTGCAAAGTCGAAGTGCAGTTGAGGACAAAGGGTCAGCTGAACGCACATGCCGTCAAGGAGCCGAAAGGAACCGAGGATTGAAGACAACTGCCTCGTTCCAGCAAATTCTGCTTAGGACGCTACCCGAAGAAGCCGACAGGAGCTGCCTAGCGATGGCCAGCAACATCGTGCGCAGGGCACAGTCAGGCCTTCTGTTCCAGTATCAAAGGTCAAGTCTCGTAAGTTAATTTCTCTCTCTCTCTCTCTCTCTCTTCAGCGATATGGCACAGCGCGTAATTGTAAACGTTAGGTAGGTAGCAAGGCGTGCACACGCCAGCTACCTGCTCTAATTACGGTTAGCGTTATAAATCGTTCAAATAAAAATCGTCCAGGCGATCCCTCATCGGGCGACTTTCTCTTTTAGTTAAGTAGCCTAAGTCGGTTCGTGGTCAAGGCGGTCATCTACCGAGTGACGCGCGTTGTATTTCGTATAGATTTGTAAGCGCGATAAGTTAGTTAACTTGTTCTTTGTGCTCTATTGTAATAGGTGTTAAGAACACCGTTGTGTTCTATAGTATTAAGACGTGTTAGCAACACCGTTGTGTTCATTAGGCTAAAATTTGTAAAAGTTGATTATAAGAGTTCGTATAATTATGCGGTTTGTTAATGTGCGGTATTTGCGAAGTTTAAGTGTAATGTGACTTTGATTTGATTTGAATTAGATTTGTTTAAATGCGAATTTTTGTTGTGTGTATAATTTCCTAATCACTTTAATTTCTTTGCCTTTTCCCCCCTTCTCGCCTCGATTGCTATGAGCGAGAGTGCCTCACTTGCCCACTTTAAAAATGGTTAACGAACGAGCTTTCGTTACACAAGTGAGGACGTTTTTCTCTGATTTTTTCTTTCAGCTGATCTAATAATGATACATAATATTGTCCAGTAATCGTCTGGCCCTTTTCCAAGTAGTCGATGTAGATGATTCCATACGCATCCCAGAAAACCGTGGCCATAATCTTGCCAGCTGACTTTACTGTCTTTGCCTTCTTTGGGGCTGGTTCTCCTGCGGTAATCCATTGTTTGGACTTTTCTTTGGTTTCAGGAGTGTAGTGATGTACCCATGTTTCATCTACAGTTACGAGTCGACGCCATAAGTCTTCCGGATTACGACGTATGCGTGCCAAAAGAGCCTCAGAGGTGACCACTCGGGT